CCCTGTTGCACCGTGACCATGGTCGCCACTACCTGGTCCTGGTTACGACCAGGAATAGGGTGGCCACTAGGAACTGAGGGTCGTTTCTTGGTAACTCTCATCGTGGGAGGATGTTTGCCATAATTGCCAAGCTTGGCGAGCGGTTTTTTATTATACTATTGCTGTTATGAGGAAGATGCTGCTGTTAATCTCCTGCCTGTTTCTTTCTATCGCCGCTTAAAATACCCACGGAAAGATATGAGATAGTGGATATTCTTAACCGCCACTACACGCTTCACGGCTTTCTATGGCAACAATTTCCTAATTATATCGAAAGCTATCAAACCTGGCATATTAGACCCTGCCTGTGACCAGTACATGAGCGACGTAGTAGAGACTATTTAACGTAAAACCAATAATATTTTTTTATTTTCTGCATATGTAAAGAAAAACATGGAGGCACTTGCTTCCACCTATGGATCTGAGACGTGGTCCTTCACTGCTGCCCATATGAGGAAGCTCAAAGTCGCTCAGCGAGCTATAGAAAGGGCAATGCTCGGCGTTTCTCTGCGTGATATACTTAAAAATGAGGATATCCACAGTAGAACCAGAGTAATCGACATAGCCCAAAGAATTAGAATGCTGAAGTGGCAATGGGGCGGCTATATAGCTCGAAGAACAGACAACCGATGGGGAGGAAAGGTTTTCGAGGGGCAGCCTCGTACCGGCAGGCGAAGTGTAGGGCATCCCCCCACTAGATGGAGCGACGACCTGCTAACACATGCAGGAAGTCGATGGATGCAGGTGGCTCAGGACCTTGCTTTGGGGCATTCCTTGGGGGAGGTCTATGTTCAGCAGTGGACTTGTGAAGGGCTGTAATGATGATGATGATGACTTGCTTCATGAGTTGAGGTTTTTTTTGAGTTTGAGGTTAATTAACTGCGAAACTTTCTACGTCTGATATTGGAAACTTTAAGACTTTTACACAATGTTTGCATCTATCTGACATTTTGTACTAAACAAAACCCAAAATAAATCAGCTTTCAATGAAAAAAATATTGGTGCTATGTTGTCTCTTTATCCGTGCATGACTAGTTGCGACTACTGATGATATGGTCCTGGGTTTGAGACCCAGGTCAAGCTAAAATCAGTTATTGGATTTTGGTCGAGAAATTCACAATAGATGCCTGGAGTTAGGAAGTTGGCAATGTTTAATCCCATTAATCGGAAAACACGTGAAACCGTTGGTGCTGCGCAGATGTCTAGTCTCCAGTGAAACTGGGTGCGCTGACTGAAATTTGCTATTTAGTGGTGAAGTACACACAGGTAAACACTATTACCGTGCAGTACAAAAATAAATTTAACTTATAAATTATTTATATTTTAATAAATGTTTCGAACTCAATAGTTTATGCGATTAGTTCACTGTAAATATATTTCATAGAAAGCGAAAACTACAGACTGCAAATATCTTAGTTTGCTCTAGTAAATTGTTATGTTTCATTTGCTTATTACGGAAGGACGATCGAGAATTTCATTTAAATTATGCAATGGAAAGTTTGTTTGATGATGTTTAAATTATGCAACAGTTGACAATAACTTGTGAATTGTGATAAAGTCTTTCGTACATATGTAACAAGCACTATTTCATGATAGAAAGTCATCGTGTGTAATCCATATCAAATTTTAATTTTCAAATAAGTATGACGTTTCTACGGGGCCATATTGAACATAGCTATTTAAGGGTTAAGAGACTTAAAAGTGATATAGCGCGCTCTTTTCTCCGCTGCATGCATATTTGTCCCGCGAGAAGTGTGCGACATTCGGTGGACGAAAAGTAGTATGTAGAAACGTTTTCGCTTATTATCAGGAAATAAGGGATCTGAATAAGAATATTACCAATATAATACTTTAAAGTAATTGGGATAAAATGATTTTTTTTTATCTCCATTAATATAAAGTACTTTTTTTATAGGATAGGGTGACAAACGTGCACACAGTCCACCTCATGGTAAGTGGTTGCTGTGGGGCATAGACATCTACATCTATCCTCGATTAAGAATCAAAATGCAGATGCGTTGTCAACCGTGAGGACTAAGACTGAATGCGTCGTTTTCAGTAAAAAGGGGTCTTTGGTTCTCCACTCTCATCATACGAAACACAGCAGTGTTAAGTTGCTATTTTACGCTGGTATTCTGTGAAAGCGTGGTCCTTCCCCGGTCAAGCCGACCAATTCGTGCTACTTCTATATCTATACAAATAAATAAAATTGAAGTGTCTGTTTGTAATGTCAAAATTACAGCTTTTTACTAAATTCATATGAAAGTATATACGGTTCTAATAACAAAAATACAATTTTTTAAGTTTTTGTCTGTCTGTCTGTCTGTTCGTCTGTCTGTCTGTTTGTTCCGGCTAATCTCCGAAACGGCCGGACCGATTTTGACGGGATTTTCACTGGCAGATAGCTGATGACACAAGGATTAACTTAGGCTACTTTTATTTTAGAAAAAGAAAAAGGGTTCTGCGCAAAAGAATTAAAACCCCAAAAACACGCGGGCGAAGTAGCGGGGAACAGTTAGTTACTACTATAGCTGCAGCATGGCTCTAACACGAAAAAAAAGTACTTTAAAATCTATTCGAGAAAGAATTTAACTAAGTATTTAACATGTATTATGTTTTTACTTTTTCCGACCATTAAAGTTCTAATATTAGAGTACTGTCTTTGTCCATTTTGTTCTCCTTTGGAACGCTCTTCCTCTCGAAAGAAAGAGGTCTGTAATAGAAAACGACACCGGAATTGGACGTTGTGCACATAATTGATATTTTCGCTGAAATAAAAAAAAAGTGTGGCTCTACTATTGTACGCGTTATATGATAATTATCAGTTAGGCGTTTACTATATGTGGCTAATAAAGAGCTAAAAAATATCAACGATATAGGCATTTGATATGTTGAATAAAATTAATTTAACCTGTTTTTTATTGTGTAATATATATTTAAAAAAAACGCGACAATATCTTGCGAAATTAAATTAATAAATGTGTACCTAGTATTGAGTAAATATGAAAAATCATTTAATTCGATGTATTTTTAGAGTAGAATGTATTATATAGAATAAATTATATAGGTTATAAAATGGAAATAAATATAGTAAATAATTAGTTAACAGCATTTTTATTACTTGTTGATGACACTCACAAGTACTTGTATTCCGATCGGCGACACACACGTCATTGAACTTTAGCAAATTTTACAATAAGTGTAGTGGTAGGCCGCTAAAGCTTTGAACGTTATTTATTTGCTTTGAACTTCATTATTTTTAATGTGCGTTGAAAAACACTGGATGGCAAAGTACAAATGTGTGTTCAAACTTCAAAGTTTGCGCACATGTGCAAATACACACTTAGCAACTTTGAAACTATTTGCGAATTTGAAGTAATTTAAAGTCAAGTCTGATGCCGGCCATACATACTGTAAATTTAACTATGTCACGGCTGTCTCAAGCGAAATATGTCCTTAATTTATTGTATTCTCGTATATATTTAAATGTCTTTGATTGTATGCTTAAAATATTTCTCAGTCGAAAGATATTTAAAATACCATTTCCGGTTTTTTATGTATATCTCACTTTACAGATATAAAATAAATAACAATCAACATCTAATATTAGGTAGGTGATAATTTCCCTTCCCTTAATCAATGTCCTCTCATGAAGGGATCATTTCAAATGTGTCGGAACAAGTGATGTAGGGGAAAACCAAAATATTTTATGACTTCCGAAGCAGGTATAAAATATAATGGCTTGGGGCTAAGCGCTCGCTGTTTTTGCATAGCACAGGTTCCGATACCCGGCTTCAACACGACACCAATGAAATTGTGCAATTTTTCTCTGCAAGTCCAAAAATGCTGATACCTCGTGCTCGGCGTTACCGAAACCTCGTAAGGAAGCCAGCATGTCTGTTGAGTGATTTTTTGAATTTTTTTCATGAAACATCTACATTTGTTTTCTATTAAGAATCAAAATGCAGATGCGCTGTCACCCTATGTGGACTAAGGTGAAATACCTCATATCCAATAGGTAATAAGTGTCTCCGGTTCTATACACTCACCATAAGTATCACCGTAGTATTCTGTGGGAGCGTGTTCCTACCTCGGTCGAGCAGACCTATTTGTGCTACAACCATCATATAGCTGCAGCGTGACCCTACCAGTTTTAATTACTTTGAAACATGTGAAGTCCGCGAACATGCACTGGAGCAACACGGTGGAATAATCACTTCATAATCTACCCAGCGACAGGCTGCATCTGTACCTTACTACATATTAATAATAATAATAACGAGGTGACCCACAACGTAATTTGATAATGTAGCGGCAAGTGCAGAAGAACGTGGTAGAGCCATGCTGCAGCTGTATTAGTAGTATAGTTGTGGCACGAATGGGTCGGTTCGACCGGGGAAGGACCACGCTCTCACAGAATACCAGCGTAAAATAGCAGCTTAACACTGCTGTGTTTCGTATGGTGAGTGTAGAGAACCGGAGACCCTTTTTACTGGAAAAGAGGCATTCCATCTTAGTCCTCACGGGTGACAACGAATCTGCATTTTTATTCGCAAACGAGGATAGATGTAGATGTCTATGGGCCGCAGCAACCACTTACAATCAGGTGAACTGTGTGCTCGTTTGTCACCCTATCCTATAATTACATTTATACATATAATTACAATTGTATTACAACGTTTATTACACTCATCGATCACTAATAAAAAACTAAATACACAATCCCATGGAAAATTTCTCTAAAAACTGTCGCTTGAAATAAATATATATTAATGTAAATTCAAGCTTAAATGCATTGTCTAAAGTTGTATTCATAAAGCTACGTACAAATTAAAAGCGCACCCAAATGTTCGAGTGGGCGCTCATGCGGTAAGGACATTTTTTGTCACTGATTGTGTATCTAGTTTTTTATCAGTAATCGATGATTACACTATTAAAAAATTACATTAATTTTTTTTCAGAATGCGGCGTATCACTCCGAAGGCACACGAGGCAGCCGCGAGAGCGCTCTGCAAGTCAGCTCCGCATCATACGTGGCCGGGAGTCCAAACGAGGTGCTTGGCCATGGCAGGTAAACTCTTCTGTGATCGTTTTATAGTCTGTGTGTTGCCTGATCTAAGTGGTTAGTCAGTTGAAGGGATAATTAATGATTTATTCGTTGCATAAAACAAAACAAAAAAATCACATATACCAAATACCGGGTTCGGGATTCCCATCCCTATTGTCTACTAGTCTAAAGCCCTGCACTTGGTATGAAATAAGCAGTAAAAGGATCGATGTAACTGCAACTTTTTTCTGCAATGGTCAAATTATCCTCTTTTTCCTGATTCTCTTTAAACCATAGAGTATTTATAGTTTACTTATAAGTACTCAAAGATTTAAACTTTTTTATGTGGTTGAGCCATGCTGCAGCTATATGATGGTTGTAGCACAAATGGGTTGACCTGACCGGAATAGGACCACGCTCTTACAGAATACCAACGTGAAATAGCAGCTTAATGCTGCTGTGTTTCAGGTGAGTATAAAGAACTGGAAACGAGGCATTCCATCTTACTCCTCACCTCTTAGGGTCATAACGCATCTAAATTCTTAATGGAGCATAGATGTAAATATCTATGGACCAGTCTGTCGGTAGCTAGTTAGTCAGTGTCTGTAGCACCAGTTCCGTGGTCAATACCCAGGTCCTCATTGCCGGCATTGGCCAAGGTTATGCTTAAAGTTTCAGCCTATATACGTCCCACTGCTGGGCACTAGCCTCCTCCCACTTCTGAGAGGGCTTTAGGGCAAGAAAGTGCCCGCCGCGCTGCCCCAATGCATGGTGGTGGACTTCACATGTCTTCCAAATATTTTTTTAATTTCTCAGACATTACGGATACCTCAGGATATTTCTTCTTCACCGTCGAGTACGTGGTAAATCTGTACGTGGCAGGTTTCGAACCTAGGTGGTTCGCGGTGAAAATTTGCAGCGAGCGCTGAGCCCCTGAGCTACCACGGCTCATCAGTGATATTTACGCTTATGTACCTTACGGTCAACATTGCAGAATTGTATTAGTGTGCATATAACATACCATGGGTTTATCGATTCTTTTATGCATCCAACTCATCATCATCATCATCATCATTACAGCTATTCACAAGTCCATTGCTGAACTTAACATATGACATAACATTTCTGACAATCGAATTTTTAGATTGGGCATAAAATTTATATTTATAATTTAAAATTAAAAATTTTGTACTGCCGACTTCAATATAAGTTATTTAAGAATAACTTAAAAACTATTGGTCTGACCTTGATCAAATTCATATGGGACCACACGAGAAGTACCAGCTTTCAAATAAAAAAAGAATCATCGAAATCGGTTCACCCAGAAAAAAGTTCTGAGGTAACACACATAAAAAAAAAACGAAAAAAAAAAAAACATACAGTCGAATTGAGGCGGCTCCTTTTTGGAAGTCGGCAGAAAAAGCTAAAAGGTTTTTTTTTACTTATTATAAGCCAGTGCTTGACCACAATCCCACCTGGTGGTAAGTGGTGATGTAGCCTTAGATGGTAAATCGCAGTGTTTTATCAAAATCGCACTCTCTTATTATATATTTATATTATATTATTATTAGGATTATATATCTACGATATTTGGAGCTCAAACACCTCGTCGTCCCTCGACCATGTATGCTGTAAAGTATCCAATACGTCGGAAATTAAAAATAAGTACAAACTAAAAGTGATAAAATCCATACATTAACTAATTTAATTTTCAAATACCAATGTATGTTATTTCTGTCTACATGTAGATGACTTAAATTAATTATTGTATCACTGCCTTCGTGTTGTTTTTTTTTTAATTTAGTGGTTATATTAGTGTAAAGCCGCGTATCGCTTAATGCGCTCCAAAAGGTCGAACATTGGCGCGCACTCCAGCCGCGCGAAATGGAAATGAACCTTGGAACGCGCGCCAAATTGTTCGTTGGAACGCTCTAACGTGAAGCGGGCCGCTCCGTCTGTGTCGATTTTTTACAGCCGCGTATCGATTATGCGCTTCAAGAGGTGGAACATTGTCGCGCGTTCAAGCCGCGCGAAAGGGATACCTTGGAACGCGCGCCAAATTATAGTCGTTTTTTACCGCGTATCAAAGTACTTAAGTTTTGGCACGCGCACCTGTTGGGACGGTTGTTTTCATTCGTGTGTTCGCTACGTTCCAAGCTATGGGTAACCAGAGTTGCCGTAAATTGATAAAATTATATGGTTCAAAATAACTGTGTTTAGTAGCAAAGGTCGTTTTATCATGATAAAGCGCACAGAGAAGATGCATGGAACTATGAAAGCGGCAGCTGTTCGTACACGACCAACATCCATTTTGAACAGTCAAACATAGGAACGGCTGCCGCGCACGCCATGCGCGCTTAGTTGATACACCTCAAACATTTGGAACGCGTTCCGCGGATAGCACTGGTCGGCGCGGGCATTAATGGCGCGCACGCCAGGAGCGCGTAATCGATATTCGGCTTAAGGGACATACAGCCACAAGTAAAATATTTAATTTGGAATTTTCAGGTGTCCTTGCAACTCCTGCATCCAAACTACGGCCTCATCGGACACTGGTGTGGTGGCGTTTTAATTCATCCGCTATGGCTTCTCACCACTGCTCACTGCATACACAAGTAATTCTATTATAAGACTTTATTTACAAATCAAGTACAAGTTCTTCTTTTTCTATTATATATAATAAGACTAACGAACATACAGTCCCCCTGATGGTAAGTGGATCTACATTTATCCTCGATTAAGAATCAAAATGCAGATGTGTTGCCACCCGTAAGAACTAAGATGAGCTTCGTTTCCAGTAAAAAGGGTGTCCGGTACGCTACACAGCAGCATTAAGCTGTTATTTTACGTTACTTACTGTATTAAAAAATAAACTTGACTGAAAAAAATGGACGAATAAACTAAAACTAAATTTAACGCTGGTATATTGTGAGAGCGTGGTCTTTCCACGGTTGTGCAGATCCATCCGTGTTAGAATCATAATACAGCTACAGCATGGCTCTAAGACGTAAAAGAGTCCGTAAATTTTTCTTCATCAGTCCGTAACAGTTCACTTGGCCTCTGCCGTTGTAGTATGAATTTTCCATTTGCCGGATTGACAGTCACAGTACCAGATGTCTCGTATTTGTAACGCTGCTCCCCGTCTCCCGACTTGGGTAAATATGGTTACCACCATCCATCGGATTGTACAAAACCTTCCTCGCGTTTCTCATAGTCGTCTCTTACGACACTCACTTATTTTGTGAGTGAGTGTGAGTGGATTCTCTTTCGCCGCCACTTGACGGAAACATAAGAGAACCCACTCACATCACTTAATATTTATAAGGATATATAAATACATATATTATGCGTATTATGTCGGTCATGAGGAAGCTAAATGTGAATATATCCAGATGAATTCCATGAAGAAAATCATATTACCGTTACTGTCTATTAAAGTCCACTGTTGAACATAGGGCTCGCCATCAGATTGCCTCATAGGTGGATATTTGCCATAGTTGCCACGCTTGGCAAGCGGGTTGGAAGACGTTGTTGCCCATCCCCTGATTTGTTTCCCTCAATCGCCTCTTACGACACCGTAGTGGATGTTCATACACCGACACTACACGGTAAATCATAAACATATTAAAACTATGGAAAACACAGAAAATCAAAAATTAAGATATAAAAAAAACTATCAACCTTACAAAGTATAAAAAGAAAAGGCGGGCACTTGCAGCAACGAAATTATTCAGACCAAAAGACTAAATAAATAAATGTAAGTAACCGCTGGAAGGAAGTGGATGACTTATTGCTCACTATATAAAAACTGGCATGTGTTGGAGGAGGCTTACATATGATTACTCTAAGGGATCGACATATAAATACAAATACTAAAATAGAAGTAAGAAAAATGTACTGAAAATGAAAAAGTCAAATAACATTACACTACATTCGAATATTAATGTAGATACGGGCTCAATGAAGATTAATTGCTATTATAATTATAATGGTTTTTAAAACAGAGACTTTACTGTGATTCCAGTGAGCTGTTTAACCTGCCTGTAGCTGCACTCTGGACTGCAGTGCTCGGCGAGTGGGACCGCGCAGAGCAGAAGGGCTCCTACGTCCCCATCGAAAAGATCATACTGCATCATCGATTTCACAATTACCAACATGATATAGGTTCGTGGACTTTATTTTATTTTAAATTTAGTAAGTTCATTATAAACTAAATTAATTAAATATGAAATTTATTTAAAAACAAGCTTTAATCGATAGAGTCAGCATCTGGGTTCATCATCACATCAGTTTCATAGTACCCCATTATTGCCCCTACTGCCAAGAGTGTCAACTTTGTCAAATATCCCCAATATGAGTCTAAGTCTAAGGGGAGGCCTATGTTTAGCAGTGAACTTTAATAGGCTCTAACGGATGGTAATGGATAAATTACTCTTGCTTGCAATTTTTTATTAAAGTTCAAATAATTTTATTTTACCTAGCTTACAAAAATTTAACTGTTTACAGCTTTAATGAAAATGACAAAACCAGCCGACGTCAGCGCTGGAAGTAGAATTCGTACAATATGCCTGCCTTCTTACGAATCGCCATTCGCAAACTACAACGCGGAGAAAGGCACATCATTCTACATGAGATCCGAGTCTGATTCTCTTAAAAAGAAATCCGCCAAACGCCCCAAGCCAAACCCTGACACCACTGCTACATATTTAGAGAAACTGAATAATTTAACCCAAAACATATTCTCTGGGTTTACGAATAAAAAACATAAAAATTTAAGATATAATATCAGAGTATCGAATAATTCGAACAAACATGCAGACAGAAAGAGCGACGAAGATGAAATACAAACTGACGCTGAGAAGAAAAATAGAGATACTATATACGATAGGATAACATTAGACAGTGTGGTAAAGTTAATAAAAACTAATATAGATGACAAAAATATGGAAGAAAGCAATAAAAGGAGTGACAAAAAACTTATGTTTGGAGAAGAAATAGACCCATATATAGAGGATAATAATGGCATTGACGTTAAAGATGAATGTTACGCAACTGGATGGGGACGAGAACATACAAATGGCACTTTGACAGATGTGCTGTTAGAAGCTGAAGTGCCAATATTGCCACTGAGTATTTGTAGGGACAGGTATTCATTGTCTTTGCCCTTGAACGAAGGACATCTGTGCGCCGGGAGTACAGACGGAAGCACTGGAGCATGTGTTGTGAGTATTCTCATGTCAGTTTATATTAGAGATCAGAAATAGCAATTTAAATTTCATCATCAAACTTAACCTGGTTTAACTCCATTATATCTGAGTCATCATAATCATTAGCATCAGCTATTTTAAGTCTATCGATGAAAGTAGATCTTTCCAAAAATGCACCCATTTGTATACATTACTAAAAAAAGTATGCCCAATTACATTAACTTTGTAACAACTGTTGTTTGTTATTAATAAGTAACAAAATCACGTTTCAAGTTGTTAGGTATACCACTAAAATGATCTACTAAATTATCCTAATTACTTTTTGCATCGATAGACTTCATTACACAAACACGTGAAATCGGAATTCAGAATCGAATTCTCAACTGACCAATTTTATATAATGCATTCCATTTTCTAATTTAATTCGAATATTGCCATCGAAAATAATAATCCTTTTAAAACAAAATAATTTCGTCCAGTCGATTATTACAGAGTATCTTCTAACGACGGAGCTTTCGAATATTATAAGAACAAAAAGACAATTGAATAAATAAGTCGAAATTTTACTATTTTATCTCTGATCAATCAAACTGTCCGGATAAAGACATATCGATAAGCAATATGGAATTAGATTTAGCTCTGAGTCGCAGCAATATTATTCCTTTTATTTCATCTTTGATCTTTAAGCTAGATAAATTTTTGATGAATCAGCTTTTGTTGTTGTGGTCGTAGCATTATTATTATTATGTACTAGCAGGCAGGCAGTTGAGACAAATGATAATGCCTGTATCATGTTTTTGCCCACTAGTCACTCATAATGATTTCTTATATTTACGCGAAGACTACACATTAAATGAATCTATTTTTTACGGAATTTTTCGCGTTTAATTTAACTTTTTAATGTTTTTTTTAATTTCAATAGCCTCACGAATCATCCTTGGTAGGAATCGGAGTTCTTTTGCGAGGATTTGTGGTCTATCAAATCTAATGTAATGGTTGGGACGATCTTGAACATGTTCACACACTGCAGACTTCCCGGAACGTCGGTGCTTCAAGTCAGCTATATATTCTTTTACGCGGGTTTTTATAAATCTTTTTGTTTGTCTTATGTAAGAGAGACCACATTCACAATCCAGCTTGTACACTCCTGTATCTTGTAGGGGAATATGACACTTGACGGATGGTAAAAATTAACTAATATTCTTCGGCAGCTTGAGGTATGTTTTAATGGAAGCTCGCTTCAAAATGTAGCCAACTTTGTCTGTGACTCCTCTGACGTAGGCTAGTACAGCAGGCACACGCTCGCCTGTGGCCGGCTTCACTCGTTCACTGTGACGTAGGCGCGGGACTTGAAGGCTGTTGTCTTGCAATACTCGCTCGACGTGCTGAAGCTCGGTGGCCACACATGTTTTCTGTCATACATCCCTCGTGCTCTCTGGAACAAAGATTTTCCCACGTTAACTAACTGTTTTGGATGATGGTTCGAATCCCATTTAAATATCGGTTGGTATGGGTTTTTTTACTATACACAGTGTGACCAATAGTGTTATCAGGATTTCGGATGACTAAAACATCTAGGAAAGCTAAAGAATTGTTTGCCTCTAACACCATTGTGAATTGTATTTTACTTTATCAGATGGTAAAATTGTGAAAGTATCTACGTACCGCTTGTAGAATCTTGGATTTACAGGAGCAGTGAGAAGCGCTTTCTCTTCAAAGTCCTCCATGAATATGTCGGTGACTATGGGAGATACAGGCGAGCCCATCGCCATACTATCTACTTCTCTTCTTTCCACAATAGGTAGCCAGATGTGAGGCAGTGTTTGAGTAATACTGCATATTCTGTAGGCATGTTGTTATCTGCTAGCTTCTTAGTTATAATTGAGATGCAGTCTTCAATAGGTAAGCATGTGAATAGTGACTGAACATCAAAACTAACCACAGTTTCATTGTCAGCGAGTTGTATATCTTTTATCTCACTAACAAAATGGTAAGAATCCTTTGTGTGTGTTCTGATGTGTTCTCTCAGTGGTGACAATATTTTTGCCAAGTGTTGAACCAACTTATAAGTTGGTGAATCGATCTGGCTTACTATGGGACTTAGTGGAGCGTTTGGTTTTTGTATTTTCGGTAACCCATATAACCTCGGTGGTTTGGCTCATGATGGTATTATCAGATTCACGTCAAGATTTAATTTTTCGGAGTATGTATAATTATAATATCTTTATATTAAATCTCTACGTGAATTTTTCGTCTTCTGCTACTTTTACTACCAAATCTGTTTGTCTTTTTGTATGTGATGCGCCGCCCAGTTTATAGGTTATACGAGGGTGTGTTGTACTGTACATTTTGAAGCATTAAGATTTATGAGCCATTCCTTGGACCAAATAGCTATTTTATTTAGATCATCCTGAAGGCGGTCGTAGTCAATTAATGGATTTGCAAATATTTTAGTATCAACTGCAAAGATGCTGAAATTACACTGTAGGCAAAGAGGAAGGTCAAAAGTATAAATAATGTACAATACAGGGCCTAGAACGAACCCTGTGGCACTCCAATGTGTATTTCTATGTGTTCAGACTTCGTTTCACCAATTATTAGTTTTTTCAGTAATTCATCTGTATAATTAATACCAGTTATCTGCAAAGAAAGACTTATTGTTTATTAAAACATCTCAATTTAATGAGGTAACTCATTTTAGTCTAGTTTAAGTGTTTTATACAATTAAGGGTGCAAGCACACAGTTGGCCTTATGGGTTGATTAATTGATTAAAGTGAGTGTGATTTAGACAAGGATTACTACGTAGGATACTAGGTGGTATGAAAGACTCCTTTTCAGTCTAAGAGTACACTTGGTGGTCTGGGTCTAAATTAGTCACTTCAGTTTAATGTAAAAAAGATTGACTAGAATGCGTAGAAAAAATGCAGTTCTGTAGTTATTTTCACAATTGACTGCCTCGTTAGTAGTGGTCGTTAACGTTGGTCTTCACGAGGCCCCGATTTCGAATAACCGTTCGATCCAAAATCAGTAATTGGGTTTTTTTTCGAGAAATTCTCCATAGCTGCTTGGAGTCAGAAAGGTGATGGTGTTTCACCCCCTTGCCTCGGAAAGCATGTAAAGCCGTTAGTCTTGTGCCTGATATCTCTCTGTCAGTATATCGTCCCATACGAACTATGAGAGTGAGAGTGTAAAGAGTGAATCTGTGCTTGCGCAAACAGTCGGTTCACAATATTCCCGTCCTGCGCACAGAGATTGGCCGCAGTGAACTAAATTCTGTCTGGAAGACACAAGCTTTTTAATTAATATTAATTCTTATATTGTTAAGGTTGTTAAAAGATATAAATAGTTTTTATAATTATTCACAAAAATACATGGTAAATATGAAATTGTTACTTAGCAATTTAACGTGGTGTTTTGCCGCTTGCTCGGCGTTGAAGGAAAACATCGTGAGGAAACCAAACATTTCTGAAAAATTAACTAAATATATTTCAGCAAATTTCACTATCAAAAAAAACTTATGGAAGCGACCCTACCATATACCTAAAATATTATTTTACAATTTTAGTGGTATTTTATAGAGTGACTATGACAAACGAATATGCAGTCCACCAGATGGTAAGTGGATGTTTTGGCACATAAGATATATATCTTCCAGGTATGATATACATGTATCCTCAGTTAAGAATCAAAATTAATGTAGATGAGTTTTCACCCCTAGACTAAGGTGGAATGCCTCATTTCCAGTAAAAGTCTTTAGTTCTCTACTCTCATCATACGGAACACGGCAACATTAAGCTACTATTTTACACTGGTATTCTGTGACAGCGTGCTCCGCCCCCGGTCAAGGCGACCCATTCATGCTACAACTATAGTAGCTACACCATGGCTCTATTACGTATAAAATATCTCCAATACATGATTGTAAAACTTAACAAAATATATTAAAAGCATGATTTTGCTTCTACTTGGGTAAAATTAATATCTGTTAAGTAGATGGATGCACGTGGTTCAGAACCGTGCAGTGGACTTTTGATGGACTATAATGATGATGATGATGATGAACTACTTACTACTTACTTACTTATCTTCACGCACAATCCCTGACGGGGTAGCCAGAGAGAACAGATCGCCAAGTGTCACGATCCTTACATACCTCTTTCGCTTCTTTCAGATTCATTACCTTCTTCATACATGCACGTCTAGGTATCCGAGTACTCTTGACCCTACCCTCTTCGAGCAATTTGCTCACATGGTCTTCGAAAGTTAGTCTCGGTCTACCTCGACACCTTTTAATATTAACTTTCGCACTATATATTTTCTTCACCATTCGGTCTTCACTCATTCGCTCAACGTGCCCAAACCACCGAAGCACGCCCTTATCAATTTTTGTGATAAGGTCATCTTTCAAACCTGCCATATTGCGAATCTCTTCGTTTCGCTTTCGGTCGGCCATGGTAACGCCGCACATTTTACGAAGAGATCGCATCTCCACTGCATTCAACTTGCTTTTATGTTTCTTCTGGCATACCCAGGTTTCGCTGCCATATAACAAAGTCGGTACCAACACTGCGTTATGTATTGCAAGGCGTGCACTCTTCACTACGCCTTGCCTTTTGACTAACGCAGTCAGGGCACCATTGACTTTATTCCCGGCAGCGACACGCCTGTCCACATCTAAATCACATCTTCCATCCCGGCTAAAAGCACTCCCCAAGTATACAATTTCATTTACTTGTTCTAGACATTCCTGATTGACCCATATTTCACACTTCGTTCTCTCTTCGTCCCTTTCAAATACCAGAACCTTAGTTTTATTAGCGTTCAAACGGAGACCTTTAATTTCACATTTCTCTTTCATACACGTGACTAATGCCTGCAGTTCTGCCTCTGATGGTGCAATAAGCACTGCATCATCAGCATACAGCAGACAATTTACTTTTATGTCACCCAATTTCACACCCAAACAGCTATCTTTCAGCTTTTGTAAACAGCTGTCGAGATACAGTATGAACAGCCAGGAAGACATGACACAACCCTGTTTTATGCCCGTTTGGACGCTAAACATGGGTGACAGGTCATGCCCTACCCGCACACAGGCTTTACAGTCACAGTAAAGAGACTGCACAGCCCTTAGCAATCGACCATCCACACCATACCCCGGCAACAGTTCCCACATTTTCTTCCTTACAACCTTATCAAATGCTTTCTCAAGATCCACAAAAGCACAGAAAATCCTCTGGTTAGCAGCCAGAAGCTTTTCCGTGATCATGCGGAGAGAAAACATTTGATCCGTGCATCCTCTTCCAGGTCTAAATCCGCATTGTGCCTCCCATAGAAATCTTTCCTATTTCTCTTGCATCCTACGTGTCAAAACCTTCGAGTAAACTTTACTTGCTAAACTGGTCAAGCTGATCGCCCGATAGCACCCGCAGTCAAAATGTGAACCTTTACCTTTATATAAAGGCACAATGACTGCGGATCGCCAATCATCCGGGACATCCCCCGTCCGCCAGCACAAATTGCACAGCAGATGAAAGCTGTCCCAGACGCGAGGCCCACCATACTTGACCATTTCAGCAGTAACTCTGTCTAGTCCCGCAGCCTTACCACGTTTCAAACTTCGAATCGCACGTTCAATCTCTTTCATACTGATGACCTCAGTGTCATCGAGGTCCGGGTCTGGCGTACCAGTCACGGCGTCATCCCCGGATCCCTCACTAAGATCATCACACGCATACATTTCTCTATAAAATTCGCTCCATCGCTGCATGACGTCCGATTTTTCTGAGAGGACGTCATTAGTTCTCGAAAGCACTTTGTTCATTCTTAAGGCCGTCGCACCACTTCGGGTCCTTCCAACCTCTTTCCAGAAGAGTTTGGAGTTCTCCTTAAAGTTGTGCGACAACCTTTCGTCCGCTTCCATTCTACACCTTTCACGCACTTCCTCAATCAATGCTTTCGTGTGAACTTTCTGTAGCCTATGTCTCATATCCTTATCATTACTAGAGGCCAAGTAGTCTAACCATGCTTTCTTCTTCTTCTTTACAGCTTCTTTCACTTCATCATTCCACCATGCATCTCTTCTTTTACTACTGCCTCTTTTTATTGTTCCACACACTTCTTCCGCTGCACTTACCATTCCATCCCTAAGGTTCTGCCATGTTCTTTCTACACATTCGTTTCTGCCATCGATGGTGTCAAGCTTTTCGGCTACCCTCGCATGATATTTGTCTCTAGTATCCGCTTCCTGAAGCTTCCAGCTTCGGATGCGACAGACCGACTGTGGTTCTGTCACTGCCGTCCGGTAGCGCCAACCCGCGAACAGACCCCTAAATCTAGATAGTGATCCGTTCCCAGGTCAGCACCCCTGAACACTCGCGTATCCATAACCTGTTTTCGCAGTCGGTCATCCACCAGGAACAAATCGATCATACTTCTCTCATTCTTTCTTTCTCTAGTATACATATGGATTTTCTTGTGATTAAACATAGTGTTTGTCACAAGAAGACCCTTTTCCTTGCATACCGCCAGTATAAGCTTGCCAGCATCATTAACCCTTTTATCGCCAAACTTTCCAAGTACCGACTCGTACCCTGGTCGAGCGGTACCAACCCATCCATTCAAATCACCACATACAACAATTCTTTCGTTTCCCCTAGCCAAATCTAGAACTTCTCTTACATTCTCCCAAAACTCCTCCAGCTCAGCCCTGGACGACGAAGCTATCGGCGCATAAGCAGCCAAAAGGAATAACTTCGTCAGTCCAAATTTAAAGCGAACCCAGAGAAGTCTTGAGTTCACAAACTTATATTCAGTCATAACATCGACCAACCGAGAAGACAGCAGCACCCCCACTCCCTGGCAGGCGTTCTCGCTCTCCGGGACTCCGGACCATAGAGCAAACGCCCCGCCAGGGAGCTCTTCAGTACCACTGCTCTTCCGTTTGGTCTCCGACATACACACGACATCTAATTCTCTTTCTTTCATTATTTCGATCAACTCATTCGTCTTATCTCTCATGCCTCCTCTAACATTCCACGTGCCAACTCTGCACTCTGTCCTCCACCATGATGATGAAGATTTACATAAATTGTGAACTGATTGTTTTGAAGAAATAACGCCTATTATACGTAATAAATATTGTAATGCTAAATCGTCAGATATTAACACACATAATGTGAAGTATTAAAGATACGTGATTGTAGTGAACTGGAGACCGTTCTTATTGGTAAAGAGGCATGTCATCTTAATTCTCAGGGGCGATTTATTTCAATTTTAATTCATAATCAAAGAAAATTTCATTTAACATAATCATGATATAAAAATGGATATAAAATATTTTGCAATAAAAATTTTTACAATTTTCTTTCTGTTTGGTAATGAACATTTATAATTACAGCTTATTAAGTAGGTATTTAGTATATTTGCGTGATGATAGGGTCAATTTTTTTCATCTCAATCATTTGATCAATTTTGTAAAGCCAGCTATACATGATGGCTGAGCGAAGGCGAGTACGAACGTATAGACAGAACATTTGTTTAGTCTCGCCATTGTTTGTCGTCATTCGCATAGCTGGCCGAGTGTAAGCGAGAGCCAACGTGTATACGGTTCGTTTGGCGTGTCTTGTCACCACTCGGGATTGCTCGTCTCACTTTGGAACAGTGTCGGTTTTCTGCACAAATCAAATGTACTCGCCTGCACTCGGCAAGTCGCGTCCACATGTTAGTTGGCCATGTCAGTATGTTCATTCATATAAACTTGGTCAACATGTAGACAAGAACTCGCCTTGTATCAATTTGCTTACGCTAGCGTTGGCTGAGGCTTGGCACATCAACTTTGGCAATATTTATTGTTGGCTTAATGTGACTCATTACGTATTTGTCTCTTTAACTCCTTCCTCTTTCTCGTTTTATTTATGGTCACTGATATACCTTCTAAAGTATATTGTCTTTTTAGTATACACGTTGGTATCTTTTCTTATTTTAGTGTATTTAATTCTATTTCTGGATTGTCTGGAATAGATTGCAATCTAGCAATAAGACTGTCTTGTGGTTTTCCCTCGATATTTGTCTATTTTTGTTATATTAATACGATATTCGTACGATATACGATAATCATATTTCTTTACAATAAGGAGTATTGTATTGTATGGCATTGTACGAGTGAGTATACAGGTTGTTCCAGAAATTAACGTCAACCCGGAAACGTGCAATAGGCCAAGTCTTGACAGTTATTAGAAAAATTTAAAAAAATCTTGGTTTTTATATTAAGTAGGTATTCTTTATAATACTTTTCTAATTATAAGGATTCAAAAATAATTCTCAAAAACTGACTTCCTGTGATGATTTTTCAAGTGTATAGTTGCATAATTCGATAAAAGTTCACAGCACAGTAGTGTGAAATTGTAAGAAATGTTTGCAGGGTGACAGCGGGGGTCCGCTGCAGTGCCGGGCGGGTGTCGCGGGTGGCGCGGGGGGCGCGGCGCTGGCGGGCGGGCGCTGGGAGCTGCGCGGCCTCACGTCGTTTGGATCGGGCTGCGCGCGCCACGGCGTACCCGATGTCTACACCAATGTAGCCCATTATGTGGCCTGGATATACGCGCACATATACGCCACCTAAGCTCAGGCTTAGGTAACTGACCAGTTGCGGATTTCCAGAAGGCAATTTCTAGATTGGTATTCGATTGGTTCTGGTTGACTGTGTAGGTGTAAAAATATCCACTACCCTAATAAAAGTTTTAATTGTTAGTATCACCAATAAAAGTTTAAATTTTAATCCATATAACACATACAAATAATGTCCAACACCTACTTTTCTTTCAATACGAACATGAATGTCGATATGGAACGTCTAATGATCGACCCGAGATATGGTTAATCGTGTAGTGGCGGTGTAAGAATATCCACTACCCCATATCATCCCGTGGGTGTCGTAAGAAGCGACAGAGGGAAACAAACTAGGAGATGGCAGCAACGTCTTCTTAATAACAATTTTAAAAAATACGTGAGTGTCGTGGAACACTCGGTTGTAAAGAAGTTCCTTTCGTAGTATATTATTCTTGATAAACGTATTATATTATTGACTATCAAATACAAATAAATAAATTACCAGCGTCTATTAAAATGAAGCGTCATTTGAAATAAAATAATATTTCTTTCATGGCAAGATAACAAAAAGTGCGAGGGAGATGGATATTATTCTATCGCGCTTTCTTATAGCCGCCAAAGTCATCTAGACTACGTCAAAAGGGACCGTGACCGAAAAGTCTTACACTTTTTCCCGTCTACCCCCATCCGCCAAATTCGTACCGTCCGATAAGGAACTTCGTTCCAATAAAAAACTGTGTTTGAAAACTCGCCTGCTAAGTGCAATGATGGTACATATCCCCCCCCCCCCCCGTAAGACAAAAATATGAGGCTTTTGATAGGCTATAACGATACATCGGAATCGATAAACGAAGTCCCTTACTAGACGGAGTGACGACCTGGTAAGACATGCGGGAAGTCGATGAATGCAAGTGGCTCAGGTCCATGCTTGTTGCATTTCTTGGATATAGCCTCTGTTCAGCAGTGGAATTGTAAAGAACTGTAATAATGATGAGAATAAGGCCGAATTTTAACAATATTAGTGTCAATTAGATAATAAATAATGACAGTCGACCATTGATAAATTAATGCTATTGCAGCCCGTAAACAAATATGTTAGTTTCTGATTATTCCTAGTTATACGGTTCAAACCTTTACTCAATAATATAATAATAATAATAAATAATAATAAATATTTATTTCATTTCGAATTACACATGTTGACATACAGGAATCAGAATGATTACAATTAATAAAGTAACAATAAGTCTCACAAAAATAACATGCTATGATAAAATTAAAACTATGTGTAGCTAAATAATGTAGAATCTACAAAAGAAGATAGAAAATTCATATTTATAATATTAGCTACCTGCCTGAACTAGGTTGAGTACCTGTGTTTCAGACATCACTTATACAATCGGTTTAATAATGTAGGACACTAGATATTTAAATAATTAAACTAAATTGTATAATAAATAAAATAACTAAATAACAATTATTTATTGCCTACAATTAATACAAACTATTTTAGTATATCTAACAACTTCTCTGTGTCTTCGTAATTTAATTTATTTAGAAATTCCCTTACACTTATATTACAGTCCTTATAACTTAGACTATATACCTTTAGTGACTTGTTGAGCTTGTTATATAGAAAGGGTCCTAAAAATATGTAAAATTTGTTCACAAATGCGTGTTTGGTTTGAGGGTTTACACAAACTAAGTCCATTCTTCTCCTGTCTATGGATTTTAAGTAAAATGGAAGTTCGGTATGTTGTTTTAATATGATTTTCAGGATAAACAACTGACGGACAGTTAGTACACTACATGCCAAGTACAGTTGATGTGTAGGAAACATGAATGGACGGAAAGTGGCTACCTTTAGAACTGCTCTCTGAGCACGTTCTAGTGGGAGCAATATTGTTTTAGAAGCACCACCCCAGGAAGTAATGCTATAAGTGAGTATGGATTGACACAAAGCTAAATAGACCTGTCTTATCAATTTGAAGTCAGCGATGTTACGAAGATATTTAAAAATGTATATTAATTTACGAACTCTAGCACAAAGTAAATCGATGTGCTTGCGGAAATTTAAATTTGTGTCAAACGTGATACCTAGATATTTTATATTGTCTGTTTTTGTTAAAGCGGGACATGCACATGCAATGTCGTCATACGAGTTACAATGATGAGCGTAAATATTAAGGTCAGCAGGTATGTTATTATTTCTCATTAAAAATAACATATATTGTGTTTTATCTGCGTTTAAACTTAGGAGATTATTTATAAGCCAATTAGATACTATATTAAAGCCTTGCTGAGCGTATTTATAAACCTCTTCTCGTGATTTAGCTGAGAATAACAGGGCTGTGTCATCCGCATAAGACATTATGACACCATTTTGAAGTTGAAGATTGCATAAGTCATTTATATAAATTAGGAACAATGTAGGCCCCAGGATACTGCCCTGTGGGATTCCAAAAGAACTGTTATGTAATTCAGTACTTGTATACTCACCGATTTTTACACATTGAAAGCGATCACTTAGATAATCGGAAAAAAATTGTAGTTGAGTTCCCCTTATGCCAAGTGTTTCAAGCTTTTGTAATAGTAAAGGGCAAGAGATAGTATCAAATGCTTTGGCAAGGTCTAGAAAGATCCCAATTGAGTATAAACCATTGTCAAGATTACTTGTGACATACTCTGTCAATTGGTGCAAGGCATCATTACAAGATCTCTTAGGCCTAAACCCAAATTGTCTGTCTGACAGCAAGTTATTAGTTTCCAGATATTTTATCAACCTGGTATTTATGATATTTTCTAAAATTTTAGATAAACCAGATAGAACTGAAATCGGCCTATAGTTATTAACTAAGTTTTTATCACCAGCTTTGTGAATAGGAGAAACCACTGCTTTTTTAAGCAGTTTCGGGAAAATACCATTTGTTAGGCATAATTGAAAGATATGTGTTAACGGGGCGGCCAGTAAATGTTTAAATCTTTTCAGTATGCGATTAGGTATATTGTCCCATCCAACTGCACAATCTTCTTTTAAGCCAGATATTATACTTAAAATCTCATCAATATCGGTATTTAACAATACAAAAGAATTTAACTTAGAAAAGGATGTGGGCATAAAAATTGGATTACGAGTGTTGCTTAATTTTAAAGTTGTCACTGCTATTTTTTTGCCAATATTAATAAAATAATTATTCACTTTATTGGTTGCTTCATTTGGGCTTTTGTCTAATAACAGTAGATCAAGTGGGGGTCCAAGATTTTTTGAACTCAAGGTATTATTTTTAATGAACTTCCATACAAGTTTACTGTTTTTACCGGCCTTTTGTAAAACATTTTTGTCATATTGTATTTTGAGGTTTTTTAATAGTTTATTGCAAAAATTCCTATATCTTTTATAAGTAGCAGAAAGTATTAAATTATCAGGAGAAAGTTTAGATTTTAAATGAAGTTTGTCTCTATTTCTTATACAGCGGACGAGACCAGGTGTTATCCAAGGTACATAATAATAATGTCCAACACCTACTTTTCTTTCACTGCGAACATGAATGTCGATATGGAACGTGTAATGATCGGCCCGAAATATGGTTAATCGTGTAGTGGCGGTGTAAGAATATCCACTACCCTATATCATTCCGTGGGTGTCGTAAGAGGCGACAGAGGGAAATAAACTAGGAGATGGCAGCAACGTTTTCTTAATAACAATTTTAAAAAATACGTGAGTGTCGTGGAGCACTCGGTTGGAAAGAAGTTCCTTTCGTAGTATATTATTCTTGGTAAACGTATTATATTATTGACTATCAAATACAAATAAATAAATTACCAGCGTCTATTAAAATGAAGAGTCATTAAAAATAAAATAATATTTATTTCATGGCAAGATAACAAAAAGTACGAGGGAGATGGATATTATTCTATCGCGATTTCTTATAGCCGCCAAGGTCATCTAGACTACGTCAAAAGGGACCGTAACCAAAAAATCTTACACTTTTTCTTGTCTACCCCCATCCGCCAAATTCATACCGTCAGATAAGGAACTTCGTTCCAATAAAAAACTGTATTTGAAAACTCGCCTGCTACGTGTAGCAATGATGGTACATAACTCCCCCCCCCCCCGTAAGGCAAAAATATGAGGCTTTTAATAGGCTGTAACGATACATCGGAATCGATAAACGAAGTCCCTTACGTCGATGAATGCAAATGGCTCAAAACCATGCTTGTTGCATTTCTTAGATGAAGCATCTGTTGAGCAATGGACTTGTAAAGAACTGTAATAATAATGAGAATAAGGCCGAATTTTAACAATATTAGTGTCAATTAGATAATAAATAATAACAGTCGACCATTGATAAATTAATGCTATTGCAGCCCGAAAACGAATATGTTAGTTTCTGATTATTCCTAGTTATACGGTTCAAACCTTTACTCAATAATATGTTGCTGCTTAGAGGAAGCTGATAACAACCCAGATAGACTACTAGGCAAAATAGGAGCTCTGCAACCTACAATATGCTTGTGTTAATGTGTACGATGGTAGAGTGCGATCCCAACTTAAGGCGACACCGCGAGAAAATGCACCTTCTTTCTTCGAATAGTATAGGATTATGACACGACTAACGAAACTGGAATTTTGATATAGGTAAATTCATGTCTTTATCTTGAATTTGCTTGTTCAAAAACACGATTGTATCATTTTGACTCGATCATATTTTATTTGCGAAAACACCTCTAAAAAATCACTATAGTTCAAATTATAACGAAATTACTCAATCTATATGCTTGGGAATCACCCAAATACATTTATAACGTCAATATTCGTAATTTGCTTGCTCGTTAATTCGATTACTTAAATCAATGATTTTTTTTTTAATATTTTAAAATTCTAAGGGATTTCTAAGCGGTCTTAATCATCGCAGGTGCTACACAATTTTAGACCTTATGATGGCGTCTTTTAAGTTTTTATAGAAATTATGTATTAACTCGAATTAGCACGGCGATAGCCCGCTTAAACTC